AATTTAAATAATATTCAAATAATTTCAGGTTTATTTGCTATTCATGATGATCAACACTTGAGTTGGAGTGATTACTACTATAATTAACTACTAAATTAAGACTACTAATAATTAGATCTGATCACAGAGAATGAAAGTCGAACTAAAGCGGTTTGTAAATAGTACGAGAAATAAGGGTCATGACATGATAGGTGTAAGGTAGTTATTCGGGATTTAACTCTCTTTAAATTCACTTCTACTAATGATTCTCTCGAATTCACTCGATAATTAGCTTAAATGTAAGGTCGATATTCCTCTATCGATTAAATCTAAACTCTACGAGATAAACTAATATGAAGCACTGTGAAGATATACAAGAATTACGTTAATGGATTAGTTTTTAGGAAAACGTCTCTCGAATGTTCTCCTAACTTGGTTTAATCAACAATTCAATCTCTTGATTACTTAGAAGAATCACTAAATTAAACCAAACTAAATAGTACAAAGATAATCATCAAAATATTCCTCTTTCGATTAAATAAATCGGTGAATAAAATTGCAAACAATTCAAAGCTCCATAAATGTAATCACACTATTAAATTAGAGTTAAATTTACAAATATCAATCAAAATACCATATCCGTCAAAACCTTAGGGAAGAACTACTTATATATAACATCAAAAATAATTTTACAATACAAACTCTCGTTTTTGCACCGATTATTGGCAAGACAAATTGATGAAATCTTATATCTTCAATCTGTTGTAGCTCTCTAAAATTCTCCTAGTTTCAAACCCCCTAAGAAATTATGTTTACAATGTATTTCTATTGAGTATGGGCCGAGCGGAATTAAAATACCCTCTCTAAGCCGAAATAAAACTAACTAAGCGAAAAAATTACATAAGCGCGCCGCAAGGGGGATGCGCTGTCGCTAATGGAATTCCTCTGAAAGCTTTCAATTACGTTGCCTGATGAACAAATAGGCAAAAACCTTGTCCCCATGTAGGCAGACATGCCAATTATGAATACAAATGTGTAATTCTTTACTTCTGCCAAACATTTGCATGACAACTATGACGTGGCATCCTGATTATTCCCTTAGATAACTTTTTCTCATTTTTTCTTTGGGTACTTGATCTCGACGCTCGAACTCGATCCCGACTTTAATTTCCAAACTTTAAAGTTTTCTTTTTTTATTCAATTTAGCTCTAAAACTTGTCGTAGCTCGAAATCACAATCTACGCAAAAAAAAAATACATAATAGTATAAATTATTTATATTTTAGCACAAACACAATTAAAATATAGTAAAATATATGTGCAAAGTAGCCACAAACTCATATTTCTAGCCTACCATTAATGTGCATAGGGAAGGAGAGAGTTGCACAGAATATCTTTGTGGAGGAGTACAAAACTGAACTTATATTTCGTAATAGCTTAGAGTCGTTGCGCACAAAAAAAAAAAAGGTAGGAGCCTTCAAGAAAAAAAGCACAAGCTTTGCAAACTTGAAAGAAGTACTCCCTCCGGTCCAAAATAAGTGATTTTTTGGCCTTTTTTTTGTGGTCCAAAATAAGTGATTTTTTCAGATTTCAAGAATGAATTAATTATTTTTTTCCTACACTGCCCTTGGAGTAAATGGTGCCGGAATATGTGTTAGGAGTGTTTATGTGAGATACTAAAGGTTAACATGGTCAATTTGATTGCTAATTAATGCTAAAAGATGGGTTTCTTAATCTGTGTGAAAACATCCAAAAAATCACTTATTTTGGACCGGAGGGAGTATGTATTATGTTAAATGGGAAATCAAATGAAAGTTATTCAGATCTTATGCCAAATCGGAGGAATGTTTTAAGTTGTATAGAGTCTGTAGACTCAATAATTTAGCCTCGTGATTCTTAATTGGCTAGATCCTACGATGTCTACAGGGAATGTAATTAGCCAAAAAGTAAAAGGGCAGAATGCATGCTAGGGGTGTACAAATAAAACCAACAAAACGCACTAACTCAACAATCCGAGTCAAGCCGGAAAAAAAAACCTGACTATGGTTTAACTTGATTTGGTTTGATGTTGGAAAAAAAAATCCAACCATATTTGGTTTGGTTTGATTTTAAATAAAAATAAAGTCAAACCGAAACCAAACCAACCTGACTTTATATGTATAGAAGTTTTAAATATATTTAATACATAAAAATATTTATTGTAGTGTAGTTTATAAATATTTCTTAAGCTTTTTCATAGTTTTATCTTTTCACGTATTATTTCAAGCTTGGACTAATAATTTTTGGATGCTCCAATAAGTTTTAGAGTTCATAAATATTAGTAACTCAAATAAATCCTAAACCAATATCAAATCAATACTAATGCTAATAAAAGACATTCAATTCAATTGTACTATGCATGAAAATAGTGCTGGATATTTATTTTTTAGTTTTCCGTGGTTTAGATAAAATGCATACCTTATTTTTATTTTAGTGTTTAGTCATGTAAATAATAGTACTTATTAGTAGGTACTTATTTTAGCAACTTATTAGTAATTTGAAATTATGTTTGTTTTCATTATGGCTTATTAATAATACTTATTTTATGCAATTTTATTATCTTTATTATTGAATATTTTAGTACAATGCCATGACTCATCTCATATTTATGTTATTTTATTGAAAAATACCTTATATAGTTCTATCGTACTAGGATTAAGGAAATATTTAGAGCATAAATTCTATATTTTGTGCTATGAAGACTTTATGGAAAAAAATCGAAAACCCGAGAAAACCCGGGATATAAAAATCTGAGTTTTATTGATTTTGTTTGCTCTTTAGATTTAATAACCAGATACAATTGGTTTGGTTTGGTAATTAAAAAATCCGAACCAACCCGACCTATGTACACCCCGCTTATATTAAGGTGGGGCCTAAAATGGCCGCAAGAAGCCATAAGGCATGCCAATAGCAGCAGTTTTCTTCTTTAATGGAGGTGGAAAAAAGACAGAGATTACACCAAAGATAAGCATAATTGATTTAGAAGACGAGACAAACGATACTTCCTCCGGTCCAAAATAAGTGATTTTTTGGTCTTTTTTTGTGGTCCAAAATAAGTGATTTTTCCAGATTTCAAGAATGAATTAATTATTTTTTTTCCAACATTGTCCTTGAAGTAAATGGTGTTGGAATATGTGTTAGGAGTGTTTATGTGAGATAGTAAAGATTAATATGATCAATTCCATTGTTAATTAATGCTAAAGGTGGATTTTCTTAATTTTTGTAAAAACATTCAAAAAATCACTTATTTTGGACCGGAGGGAGTAGTATATTGGAAATAATATAAGACAGACAAAGTTAAATGATGGAAAGGCGGCAAATTAATTATAGAGAGACATAACTTCATTTGATTATTCGAGGAAAAAGAGGGGACATAATGTCGGAAGCCACACACTCGGAAATTCTTCGATTATGTCTTCCACTTCTGGCTACTATTTTCCATATGGCCATGTTCACTACTCCTCCTGTCAGTGACCAATTTGCTTTAGGTATACCCGTTAAGGAAATACTAAATTTTAGACAAAAATAATTAGTATGATTAAACTATCATTAATTAAATATTATAGCATAATTTAATGTGAGGAGTAAAAGACTTTTTAGGGATACGTACATAAGGGTAATTTTGGAAAAATAAATTAAATTTTTCTTGATTATATAAATGGACACTTATTTTGGACCAAAATAAAAAAAGCAAATTGGTCACTTATTGTGGACCGAAGGGAGTATATTTCTTCACATGCAGAGAATGGAAAAGACTCCATTAATAGGAAATTAAGCACCTAGTACGTAGTTCACTTAGGCTTTATTTGTTCCTCTGAATCTTACCATTCATATTTCAGTTATTAAATGTAGTACTTGTTTTCTAGATCTGGATCTTGTTTATTCAAATTTTAATTAATAAATGCTTTATTCTTTTATACAATCACTTAATGAGTTTAAACATTCCTGAAAAATTAAAACCTATAACAAAGTTTTAGTATTACTAAACTGCTATTAAGTCAATGACTATTGTAAAGAAAGCATTTCAGCACCACCCCATCCATCGCCGCTGCCGCCCCCACCATCTATCCTTAACCACAACCACCACAATACAGTCATTCATCATCACCACCGGCCACCATTTACAATTATCACCACCAACCATCATTACCACAACCACCACCAATTATCACCGATAATTACCACTATAAGCTAACACCATATATCGCCAACCACCGCTATCAGTTGCGCGCCATCCCCATTAGCTTTCACCTTTAGTTTATCAACTTACTCGTCATAAATAGTCAAATGACTTTGACATGAAGTGCAACATAATATGACGGGTTATCGTAAAAAAGAACACTCGATCTGTTCTTTTATTAAATGAAATGTCAGCCTAATCTGAAAAGAAAAAAAGATTGGTGCAAAATAAATAAATAAAAAAATACATTAGGGGTACAACTCAAAGTAGTGGCGGATCGGAAAAATTATAGTGTAGCTGGGTAATTTTTTTTAAAATGTGTATATATATTATATATTGATACCCTTTGACTTCTTGATGTGTTTATTTCTTTATATTTTGACTCCCCTTAATGAAAATGCTGGCTGTGCCGCGGACTCAAAGAGCTTACAGTTTTGCCAAAAAGGAACGAATAGAATATAATTTTTTTTTCTACAAAAAAAGTGCATATAGCAAATACATCAGGTTTCCGACGAAAAAAAAAAAAAGAAAACTTCCACCTCAGAACAATGATGCAATTTGTTTTGCACGAGAGACTAGGATAACACAAATGAACATTACGTAACTTTACGAGAAGGTTTATACTGCCTCTACTAATGATATTGATAGGGAATCATTCAACTAGGGATTCCTTGCTCATAGATGTTCATTTCTATGTGTATCATATATATATCACAAGACTTGTGATAAGAGAAAGCCGTTTACGCTCAAATCCATTTCTAAAAGAATAGAGTGAATGAGAAAGATAAGGAATTTGGAACCGCTAAGGAAAGCTTCACCATTTATTAGTAACTTTCTGGATTTGATAATAATTTCATGAGGTACCAATGATACGACTTCTCGTGCACTACCATGATACTATTGCCTGAATGTACATAATATACAAAATTTACAAGGAAACGAAATTCATGATACTACTACAGCCTTGATGTACATAATATACATACAGCTAAAGAATACCCAATATGGGCAATAAGCGGCAAGGACAAAGTCATAGAGAAACAATCATTCATGCACAGAAATCAATAAACGATCACAAAGGGCTGCTTTCAGTCTCTTCCTTCTGTAAACGGATCTGCATGCGAAATATAAAATCTTAAGAATGTCACTTGTAGTATCTTACAATATTTCCTCAAAAGACCTGAGAAAAATATTAAAAAGACAACTATCTGATGTAAAATTTAGGAAACTTTTAACGCAACAGCTTCCTTTGGAATAGATTATTCTCATTTACACAACTGATTCCCGGGCAGCAATCTCAGGAGGGTCAAGGTGAAGACACTGTAGATTCATGGTCATTACGAAAAGAATAATGTTTACTAATTTTATCCAGCCATTTATTTTAAATCCATCTAGGGCTTTTGTAACACTTTCTAGTTAGAAGGTTAGAGCTTTTGTAACTAATGTGATCTTGTTATCCAACAACAAATCCAAAGTGGTTAGCTAATGTTCCAGGCTAGTGACTAGTAGTAGCAGCATTAATGAACCAAAAGAAAGGTGCCCTGCATTCCCAGGCAAAAACACCATTCTATTGCATCATAATTAATGCTTCCGACCATGCATGCTTATACCAAGCAAGATGATCAGGCAAATACGTAATGAAGTGGGCACTTAACTGTAAACAAGCATCTCAATCAGCAGAAAAGAAAGTTGCTAAGGATAGCTAACTTTACCAGTAAAAGATCCTCATCAGTTCCAAATGATTTGCGGGCCCCTTCTAAACACCTTGAGGTGACCTTTTCATGCTTCCTGCATAAGGTTTTCAGGCAGACATCAACACAAGATTTTACGTCAGTCTATGCGTAATACCGCTAATACTCATTACTGTTTGGCAATAAGTACTAACTTTGTATTAATATATAGTTTTTAAATTTTGAAAATATATGTGTGTGTCTGTGTCTGTGTGTTTGTGCATGTTCAGGTCCATTAAACACCAGTGGCTGCTTTCAGAGTAGAACTTATCATAAGAAGTACTTAAACCTAATGCACCACTCCCAAACCAGATGAAGCATAATTGTATAATTCGAATTGACAAAGGTTGATCTTAGATGTATTATTTGTCAAATTAGTCAAGGTAGTACTCTCCCCAAAACCAGATGAAACATAATTGTGCAAGTCCAAATAGTAAAGGTCGATCTCATAGATATAGGATATGCCAAATTAGTCAACGTAATACTTTCTACACAGTCCTACAACATAAGCAAATCAAGTACGAATTTTCTCCATGTTAATTGACCAGAGAAATGAATTACAAGTAGTCAAGTATGCAGTCTAGATCGTGTTATCAAAACCAGAAAAAGCTCCTTGATTGTGGTGGCAAATAATACACTTACCAGGACAGTCAAGCACACTTCACATGCACTTCTTGTGAACTGAATAGTGTAATGTCCCATATATCTCAAATCTTTAAGTAACTTAATCTTATCAAATAAAACTTAGCACCATAGCTTGTAGGAAGAACCATAGATGTTGCATCTCATGCGTTTTGCAATGCTCTGGAGTCGGACAGATGCTAACTTGTTAGATAGTTAGACTTTGTTAAACATATACTAATGACCGACATAAATAAAATGTGCAATGCTCCTTAAGAGGATTGTAAAGCATTCATCTTACACGTTGTCTCAATTTCTCATCCTCTTTTCTCTTATTTCTCACATGGTATTAGAGCATTGGTGAGGAATCCATTTCCGAGAAATCACCAGCATGTTGGGTAGAATAAAAATCGTTTTCAAGCACTTTTACAACCACTGTCTTATTTGTCCAAGATTGACACATTCTTTGAGTGTTGTGCATAAATCGGAACCACCTTTGACTCTAAATCGTCGTGCAAACCTAACCCAAGAAGCCCTGCTATTGTAGTAGTTCTCACATGCTCTTACATGCCACTAGAAGGTACTGCACCTCACCTTCGTGCACCGCCATGCATCTTCGACTATGAGACTTTTCAACCAACTTATGATCACAATTGCAACACATCTGAGAACGACTTGTTATTTCAATTAGACCTATCTTTCTCCTAGTTTATTCCGGTGTCTAGAACCTAGTCTGATGAAGATCCAAGAACTTTCTGGCTGTATTTTTGTGATGAAGTAAGAGTGATATCATTTAAAGGCATCAAGAAGATGCTTAGTAGTTACAAAAAGCAAAAGTAATGCTAGCTCCAGTACGATGTTGGCTAAGCTAAGTTCAGGGAGCTAACAAAATCCAACAAATTGATTGGGCAATCTACAGGAGTAAGGAAATTCCAGCTGTAAAGGCTGACTAAACAAATAGCCTTCAAAGTGTGTTGGAGTCAAAATTCCATCAAAACATCTGTGGTTCCTCTCAATCCATAAACACCAAAACTTAAAAGCTGGGACCATCCTCCAGACTCTTTGATGGCTTTATCAACTCTGCAAAAGCTCCAGGGCTCATAGGCATCTTTTATTAACTGAGGCAGCACCCAACTCAGTCCAAAATAGAAAGGAAAAGCTCTAAAGTTCTATTGCAACTGTGCGGTGAAGGAAAAGATGGTTGATGGACTCCATATTTCTCTGGCATATGCATCATTTGTTCACCATCGGAAAGCTCCTTTTGCAAAGATTATCTTGTATCAGACATGCACCCGTTAAAGCTGTCCAGGCAAAACAGATCACCTTAGTGGGAAGTCTAGTCCTCCAAATGAGTTTCCGAGGCCAATTTTCGATCATTCCATTTTAAGAGCATAGATGTTTATAACCAGCTTTAACTGTGTACATGCCTTTACTAGAGCTGCCCCATAAAATTCTTGTTTGAACATGAATCTGTAACGTTATGGCCTTCAATCAAAGCTAATAAGTTCAGAAAATCATCACACTCCCAATCTTGCAGGCTCCTTCTTAAAGTGATATTCCATATGTTCCCCTCTATATTGTCAGCAATAGTGGAGTCACGATTGCATGAAATTGAGGCAACTGCTAGAAATGATTCTTTAAGTACAATGTTCCCCAGCCATATGTCTTTCCAGAACTTCACCTTTTGCTTCATTTACAACCTTGTAAGAGATGTTTTCGAAGAACTCATCCCAGTGCTTCCAAAGACCAGTGCCATGTGATGATGTAACTCTCTTAGTGCACCAGTTGTTCTGAGCTCCATACTTGGCAGTGATGACCTCTTTCCAGCAGCCAGATTCTCATTGTCCAACCTTCAAAGCCATTTAAGAAGCATGCTTTTGTTATGAAGCTTTAGATCTCTTACACCTAAAACCCCCCAACTGCCTTAGGTTTAGTGCATCTGCTCCACTTTACAAGGTGGAATTAGTGATCTTGGCTGTTACACTACCACAGGAAAGTCCTTCTCATTTTGTCAAGCTGCTTGAGAACTGAACTACGCATAGGAAAAAGAGTCACGTAGTATGTTGGGATGCTGTCAAGTACATTATTGATTAATGTCAGTCTACCTCCCATGGATAACATTGCATTTGCCATGTCCCAAGTCTCTTCTCAAATTTCTCAATTATGCCACTCCAGATCCCTGTTGACTTGAATTTAGCTCCAAGAGGTAGACCAAGATAGGTGGTGAGAAATGAGCCGATGTTGCAGCTGAGAATCTCTGCAAGTTCTTCTAGATTTGGGACTTCATTGACCAGGTATATTACACTTTCCAACATGTTGATATGCAATCCAGATAAAGCTTAAAAAATAAGAAGGCGTTATGTTGAGATTCTGAACTTGTGGCTTGAACTTTCCGGCTGTGTTTTCACTTTTCATCATATAACCACATCCTGTCCAATTTTCTAGCAACCTCCAAATCAGAATAGCCTGCGACCCTACCATGTGCTTACGAATTTTTTGACTACACTCCAGAAAGTTTCTGATGACTAGTCAATTTCTGGTAATATATTCAGTCTCTTTTTCAACCCTTGACAATTCTTCTTGCAATTTGCGGCTCCTTCTCTAGTTGAATTTACCATTTATCTTTAATCCCAACAATGAAATCATTAAGATTTGGCAATATTGGTTCCAAGAAAATGAAATTTGGTAATACGAGTCATATGATTACCACATAACACCTTAATTGGAGGGTTAACTATTGATAGAGGTATTTATCTAGCAAATTGTGGTGCAGAGGGCATGGTGTTCACGGATACTTTACCAAGAAGCTCCAGATATTTATGTACAGTATGGCTTAATGTACGGGAATGTTGATGCATAACTATATAGCTTTTTGTGTAAATCTATTGAACACTAAGTTCACAGCACTTTTTCGTCCTTTCCAGACTTGCCATTTAGTTTAGGAAAAGGCCTACACCCTTTAGTCTGTTCCATCCCTTCTAGACTTACTATTTAGTTCGTCCTATCATATATCTTTTGAGTTATCATTTATCAATGGTCAAATTGATCAGCTTAAAACATGTGTTGGTTGCCAAAAGTATCGTAATATTTAAGATGGATTATTATAAATTTCATCGACTGTTGTTTGCAATTAGCCTCTTCATCAATTTGACATCAAGAATATTTCTTCAGAATGGTCTTCAGAATGAAGTATTTATAGAGAAACCATCAATTTCTGATGCTTAGAGAGACTCTAGGGGTCTAGTCTGCCAATTATGTCAGTCGTTATACAGTCTGAAACATTAACATAACTTGATAATTAGCAAAGTTCAAGAGTTTGACATCACTTGTGAAACTGATCATGCTGTGTTCTATTAGCATCCTGCTGTGGATGTGCATTTATTATGTTGATAACAGGTAGTGTACAACAACAACAACAACAAGCAGCCCAGTAATTTCCCACAAGTGGGGTCTGGGGAGGGTAAGATGTACGCAGCCTAACCCCTACCCTAGAAAGACAAAGAGGTTATTTCCGATAGTGATTGAGAGAGCATTATTAAAGTAAAGTCTCTTCAGCAATTTAGACCAATATTTCAGACTCAGCTTTCTCTTTTCAGTTTCAGATATTAGTTTCCCGTATCAGTTTCAGCTTAAGCTTTCAGTATTTTCTGAGTATTGAGGCTGCCCATGCAGATCGGGCATCATAATGCCCATTTCAAAAGGTAAGTATACTATAGATGTCCTTGAGGAGATTGAAATGACTGATTGTAGAGCCTACCGATACTCATGGTTCTAAATGTTAATTTTCTACTAGGTGACGCAAGCCTCTTAATTAATGATCTTGGATATATAGGCGACGAGTTAGCAAGTTAAACTATCTTACAGTAATCTGACCAGACATTGCCATTTTGGGAGTTTTGTATGTCAATTTATGGATCTCCATGTGATTAATTCATTAGCGTGTCGATCAGTAGATGTAGTGGCTTGTATCCTTCTGTAAATGAAAAGTCCACAGAGAAGGACTGCTCTACGAGGATAGAGGAATGAGCAGATAGTTGATTATACAGATACAGACTGGAAAATGTCACTTATACAGATATAGACTGGCAGGGTGACTTTCTAATAAGCACTCCAGCTCTAGGTACTGTGGTTTGATAGGAAGAAATTCAATGTCCTGAAAGAGACTAGGGTTTGATAGGAAGAAATTCAATGTCCTGAAAGAGACTAGGAAGAAATAAAAACTGTTCTGTCTTTTATTAAACGAACAACAGCGACTAGGGTTTTAAAGCAGAGCATCTGCGAGCATTAGACTAGGGTTCTTCTTCTTCTTCAACTTCAACTTCAAGTTCAAGTCTTCAACAGCAACAGGTATGTTCTGATTTTCCTCCTCCTCCTCCTCCTCCTCCTCCTCCTCCTTTTTCTTTTTCTTTTTCTTTCACTGTTTCAACGTCCGAATAGCAGCGAAATGCTGGCGAATTTTTTTTTTTACCTTCGGTTCTTTCTCAGAATTGATGCCAATCCTTGGGTTCTTCTTTCTCTGCCCAGTTTTTAACAGAGAAAAACTGCCCTTCCTCTAATTTTTATATCCTTTACATTGAAGTATTGAACATTTGCTTACAATTACATATGTTGTCTATGCAGTATTTATTTTAATTTTTTTTTTTCGCTTCACTTCATAAAAGTGAGCGCTTCGCTTCTCGCTTCTCGCTTTTAAGCGAAATGGGGGTTGTCGCTTTTTCTCGCTTCACGCTCTTCACAACACTGCCCACGGACCGCTGGCAGTAAAAAGTATGTTTGTTGTGAAACTTGCCTTAGGCAAATCCCACATCGAAATGGGAGGGTTAACAGGGGCCACATAAGGGCGAGTTCAGGATTAAACTGTTGAGGCGTCTTTTGAGTTAAAGCCCAAGCGGACAAAAGCGTGAGCCCAAAAGCCTAAGGCTCAGAGGGGTAGAACCAAAGCAGACAATACCTTGACAGACAGGCTTGGGTCGTAACCTACCCAATAGCTGCCGAAAGGAAATTGTTTGACAAATTGAAGTAAATGTGCTTGTGGTCAAAAGTCTTCCATGAATAGAGATTACAAAGGAAAAGAAACAACCCAAATGGTCCCTTAGTGTATAAGGGGTTAGACCATTTTGGTCCTTGATACATATACCCCTTAATAAAAATAGTTGTTAATGTATGCAAAAAGTGGAGACTTTCAGTCGACAACCCTAAAACTAAATGGAACACCTCAAAACTCATGTTAGAGTTAATTGGATTTGCTCATGTGCATCTCACGTGAGAAGAAAAAACATAAAACAAAGAAATCGAACCTTTGTTTGCTCAACGAAAAAAAGATGATGAACAGTAAGACTCCTAATCGTAGCTTGTAAAACCAGTAGGTTATCTTAATCATGATGCGGTACTTTACAGTAAGTTCTCATAGCTGATGGATCTCCAGTAAAATCTCTTATGTTGTGCATTATAGGTAAAATGAGTCATCATAAATAAGTGTTGCCAAGTTCTATCAGGAAAGGCCTGTTATAAGCTTTCTCCTCTCTTTTGAATGTTCTTTATGAATGTATTGAAGATCAACAATACCTTGAACTGGCAGGATCACGAATCTCAAACTCATCTGTATCAGCATCATATCCACAGATGACAACATAGTGACCTGCGTAGACATTATTAAGAAAAAGATTATGATTATGTAACAAAAGGGGAGGAGATTCTTTTTCAGATAATAAACCACTTTAATGCACTATTCTTTCACAAATTGATCTAAAACCATAAGCCAGTAGCCACCAAACACCAGTGTCAAAGCCCATATTCAGTTTAGTGAACAAAAAGTATGGAGTATGTAAAGTCGTAAACAATCTGTCGACGAAGCACTAGCAACATGTTCTACTCTATACAGAGATTTTAAACTCCAGAAATCAAAATTTACAGGAAAAATGTTAATTTCCCACCAATGCAGGTCTATGTCACAAATAATAGGAGAACATTCTGATTTATATTTCTAAAAGGCAATGATCCATCAATAAACTGGTGATAAAGTAAATAAACTCCAACAAATACCAGATCATTTTGGAAATAAATTTCCATGTCTCGACAATATTACACCTTCTATTTATGACTTTATTTTAAAGATAATCCCATAATAATCTTGAAATATATGTGTATGTACTTGGCCATGTAATTTATGCTTTTCATCAAAACATGTGTGTAGAAATGACCTTTCAAGAATATTTATTTTCCAATGCTAGCCTAGTTTTAATATCATATAAGCATAAGTATAAGATACACTAATGTTATGTGTATAGAGCTACACTGATTTTGTAGATGTACAATATAGAGATACACTGATTTTATGTGAACCGCAAAGGTGATCGATCCAACTCTTATTCAGAACATCGGTGTGATTGGAAGCTGTTTCTTTTCCCTACGGATCAACGAGATGTGATTGAATTAGTTTTGGTCTGGGGAGGTACAAAATCCTCGTGAGATCACCATGATACGTGGATGCAGGTTGGCCATCTTTCCACTAAAAATTTAGGATTGTCTTTGGGAGGAAGAATCAAAGATGGTGAACTCCAACATCCTGTAATCTAGAAGATTAGAGAGATGAAAGTGCAGTATTTGTCAAACAAGGAAGAGTCACCCTAAACAAAATCCAAACTCTCTAGCATTTCATTTACCTAGTTTATGTTCCCCATCCAACTTCCGATAGTAAAAGAAATTATAAGGCAACGAGGAAATTCTTGTGGGAAGGAACAAATGTTGAGAGGAATTATTTGTGGGTTGAGATAAGTCTGCTCACCTAGATTTTGGCAGCTTGAACATTTGTAGATTATACATCTTCAACCAATCACTTTCAGGGAAATGGTTAGCAAGATTTTCTTGCCGAGGAAGAAGCATGATGGAGAAAGGCAATTCCAATGAAATATGAGTGACAATGGAATGAGTGGTTACTGTAGAAGGTCACAACATCAGAATGAGTCTTTGGAGATGTATTATGAAGGAATGGAGTAAGCTATTTAGATTTAATGGCTTCACACTTGGAATGGCAATTGGTTCGCTTTTGGTTGGATCTTTAGTGCTCAACTTTAAAGACAACTTTTGTCCTCTACTTTGATCACCCCTGCCATGAAGGCCACAATAGCTGATCCCCTTACGAGAGATAGGTGTCATGTGATGTAGGATATATCTTTTAGGAGGCCCGTTCAAGATTGGTAATGGGATGATGTCGATGATTTCTTTTAAAAAATCTACAACTATACTAATTTTGGAAGATGACTGCATTATTTAGGGGGTGTAGTTATCAAATCAGCTCTCTTTTAAGTCTTATTATTACTGTGAATTCATCAAGGGAAACCAAGGTAGTGTGAAAACTGAAAAAGAAAATAGAAGGCACAAAACAGGTGGCTTTCTTCATGTGAGGCACAGCACAGTATACAATCCTAATGACGGGAAACTATAGGAGGACAATATTTAGTTGGTGTTGTTTGTTCAAGAACAATGGCGATGATGAGGCCCATATACTGCTCTGCATTGCTTTGCCATAAACTATGGCCCTTGGTGTATCTTATATATTTGATGTCTCCAAGATGCAACCTAAGTTGGTGGAGAATGATTAGATTGCTTGCGAGGAAGGAGTTGTAGAGAGTTTCTCCCCTTTGTGGTTTAATGTTTTTGGTAGATATGGACTACAGTGAGAAAAGAAATATAAAGGTTTTTGAAGGTTAGGAATGGAAAGTCCATGGTGAAGAATAAAGAGTTACTTTTTGTCTCACTTGCTTTTTCGTATAAAAGGATATTTGTTATTGTATAAGCAGCTGCTTGGTTTTTTTGGTAATAAAAAAAAAAAAAACATTGGACAGTGACAACGATTTGGTGCAGCATTAACGAACTATTTTGACTTTTAAAAATACAAAATATAGCTCACTCTACATGAAAAGCTGACGCACAAACACGTAAAAAATAAACTACACGAAGATGCTTCTCACCAGTATAGCCTGGGCTGTCATTGCAGAAGTCTGATATACCAATATCTTCCAGCCAAGAGTGACTGCAAAAAAGAGAAACAGAAGTACAATAAGGGCCTTGAAGCAGAACTTAAACACTTATTACCCTGATTGGTGACAATATACGCTAAAGAGAACTCTCATTTCCGGTGTAATTTTCTCTGGAGGGTGAGGTAGGGCGGTGGTAAATTTAAGGAGAAGATAAAAATGTATAAGCAGAAGACTCTACCTTAACTTGTACTGGTCAACTAAAGCAATCGCGATGAATTTCCCAGACATGATCAATGAAGAAATCTCTTCACTGCTAATCGATCTGCACTGTAAAAAGAGGATGTGTTTGTACTAAAACTTCAGAGATGTATATAATGTGCTGAATTCAGTTTCTCACACGAATGAGAGAAATAAGGCCTGCGAAATTCAAAATGACTAGTCGACGCTTCATAATTCTTTTCCAAACAATTTAAGAGGAGCCCAAGGCAGATAGATAAACAAGCTTAGGCATTTGTAGGAGGAGGATCAGCTAAGCTGCAATGCATGGTCATTCCCAGTTCAAATAACTAACTAATGCCAAAATCTATTTGAGGTACATACCACACCCTGGAACTCAAAAATTTCCAAGATTTGGCCAACCCAAGGTAGAACCAATCACTGATGTGCTCCATGCCATCCGTTAGCTCCATGAGCGGTCCAACTAATTCGTCAAAGTTCCACCATAAACGGATCCTCAGTCCACCAGTTCAACTACAAGGCCCATACTAGAGGGAACTCTGGTCATAACCATGCAAAAGATTCGTCTTCTACTAACACATCTATCGATAACAAAACCAATATATATACTTGCATTTTGGTATATATATACCATATATACAATGTGTAGACATTGAAAAAATATACCTCCTATCCTGGGTGTAGATACCAAAATCGTTGGGCTAGAAACAAACCTAGCAGGGCTCCGTTGCATTGCCACAATTCTAAGGCTCGTGGGCTGGAGTTATGATGCAGAGGCAGATTAAGAATAACCTCAACAGGACCATATCCTAACCTTGATGATAGAGAGCAGGACGTACTACTACCTACAGAAACCCACGATCCATCACTTAGCCAAATTTTTTTTCTTGATAAGTACCCTTACACAAACTTTATCCTGCAAATCGCATATTATTCTTCACTCTTCCTCTTCCATAGTTACGGCACTCCTCATAAATATGATCTGATCGTAAACATTAACTATGTTATATTTTTTAACTGATCACATCTTTCTCCAACAGACATTATATTTAAAGTTTATATGAAATTGAAGAAAGGTCCTATGGTTATCAAAACAAAATCACATGGAAGCGCAAAAAACTCTTTCGAGTAAGATGCCCTGCAATTCGGGGGAAATAGGATTTCTTGGTCAGGCCAAAAAGGTTACAATTGAAAGCTCTAGCCCACCATGTCTGGCCCTTTATCTATACTATATTAAAAGCACGAACGCCCTTAGCGAAATGTCTTCGCCTTTTATACCCTTTAAAAACAGATTTCATATTGGACAAAATTGTAATTTAAATTAATTTTACTAATATTTAGGAATTTGAAATCGATTAAGATTATGGTTAGTAAATCTTTATTGATTTCAACTATGTTAGAAGTCCTAAAATTTGGGACTACAAAATCAAATAACATTTTATCTTATATATAAACTTTATATTTAAGATTTGAAGTCTAACTGATAATAATAGAAATACCTAAGTTGCCACTCTATTTAACTTCCACGAGGATTCATAAATCTAATAAGTATGGTCTGTTGTTGCTCTAATTTACATAATTGAAGGAGTCTCTAGTATCCAATTTGTGATCTGCACCAGGATTGAAACTTTTCTTCAAAAATTTGAACCCTCGTGAAAAATTACCACACGCTATTTTGGTCGTCTGCGGCATTAATGGCTTAATTAGAAAGGCTCGATATGAGGTCGATAGCAGTAGGTGTTATTTCAATAATATGTTATTTACTTCTTGATGTATATTTCACATAGATGTTATTTTTCTCTTCAACTCATTAAGGTTAAGTTTTTTTTCTTATCTTGAATCCCAATCAAAGCTCGGTCTTGTAATTTGATTTTATTTATCATGTTTTAGATATTTAGGGAATTTGTAATACATATACTTCTGTTAGTTTCTTCTTTGCCTTCACAGATAAATTTTATGTTATGCGCTGCATGTATGAATAAGTCAATTGGTCTTATCTACTCTACATGCCGAAAGAAATGGGGTTTGGGGACAGATGGATCAAATTTAGCCCGACCACTGTTAAATACTCCATCCTAATCAACAGATCTCCAGTAGGATTTTTTTCCCCTCAGAAAGGAATAAGGCAAGGAGACCCCCTGTCTCCCTTCCTATTCATCTTAGCTATGGAAGGTTTGAGCAGAATGCTTGACAAGGCAAAGCAAGTGCAGTGGATTGAAGGGTTCAAGGTGGGCAGCAATACTGACCTCTCAGTTTTAGTCTCCCATTTGTTGTATGCAGATGATACTTTAATATTTTGTGGGACAGAGAAGCTTCAAGTTCAGTACCTAAACTTGACTCTCCTTCTTTTTGAAGCCATCTCAGGGCTGCACATCAATATGGCAAAAAGTGTGATCTACTCTGTGAATGAGGTGTCTAATCTAGAGGAACTGGCTGGAATTATGGGTTGTGTCACTGGCTCTCTCCCAACAACATACCTAGGCCTTCCCTTAGGAGCAAAGCACAAAGCAACTGAAGTCTGGAATGGAGTCATTGAAAAGGTAGAGAAAATACTGGCCTCTTGGAAAATGCAGTATTTATCAATGGGGGGCAGATTGATGCTGATTAACAGTGTACTGGACAGCATTCCTACTTATATCATGTCTCTTTTCCCTATGCCATGCAGAGTCCGAAAGCATCTAGACAAAGTCAGAAGAACATTTCTATGGGAGGGCAACAGTGAAGACCATAAATTTCATTTGGTCAAGTGGTCCAAAGTCATCATGCCAAAGAACCAAGGTGGTCTAGGTGTTAGGATCTACAAAAGCACAACAGGAGCCTTCTATTGAAGTGGTGGTGGAGGTATGCACAAGAAAACTCATGCATATGGAAGAAGGTTGTGACAGCAAAGTATGGGAAGTTAGACAGTTGGAGCACTAAGCAAAGTAGAGCTCCACATGGAGTAGAGCCTTGGAAGCATATCAACAGTATGAAACAGGAATTCTTTCAAGAGGTATCTTTCAGAGTAGGGGATGGCAGTTCTGTTAAATTCTGGAAGGATAGGTGGATCCTACACCAACCTCTAAAAGATACTCACCCTGGCATCTTCCAGATAGCTATAGACCCAGACTCAACAATTGCCCAGAATAGAGCAGGGAACTTATGGGAACCCCATTTCAGAAGGAATTTGCAGGACTGGGAACTAGATGAGCTCTTTGATCTCTACAGAATCATTGAAGGTTCCTCCATAGACCTTCAATCCCCAGACAGGCTAAGATGGGGCAATTCTAGCAAGGGTATATACACAGTGAAGGCAGGGTACAACAAATTGTGTGAATCAAATGGAATGATTGATAACTGGCCATGGAAGCACATATGGAGGTCAAAATTACCTACTAAAGTAATGTGCTTCTCCTGGATTGCTCTCAGAAATGCTACCTTGACTCAGGATAACCTATGCAGAAGGAGCCTCCAACTGGTCAACAGATGCTACATGTGCTACAGCAATGCTGAATCAGTGAATCATCTCTTCTTGCATTGCCCAGTGGCATCTGATATTTGGAATATGTTCTTAGCATCAGTTGGGCCATTCCTCAGGACATCAAGGAAGCAATCGAAGGCTGGTGCTCTTGGGAAGTTGAGAAATCCATCAAAAAAACCTGGCAAATGATCCCAGCTTGTATATGTTGGAGTATATGGACAAAAAGGAATTCCGGGTGTTTTGAAGGAATCTCAACTTCCACCAGCCGTCTGAAGTCTACGTGTCTAACGAATCTGTTTAGTTGGAGCAACCTTTCCCCTGTAAATGATGTTATTCCCCTCTTAGATTTTATTAGCTCCCTTAACATGGCTTAATGCCTTTCTTTTGGTTATTGGTCTTGGTTAACTCAAGTTTCATAGGTTTTTTGTCTTTTAAGAGTTAACCAAAGACTTACACTATGTATCTTTTTGGCATCTTCTTGATGCATTCAATGAAACATCTTATTTCATCAAAAAAAAAAAAAGAATTTCTAATTTGGAGATATTGACTTCTTGTGGTATTTGTCGATCTTTTTAATTATCTCATATGTTTCATGTTGATAGGTCCCCATAGATCGTCAGTTTGGGGGTACTCGAAGGTAGTATTATGATAAGTTCTCTATTCTTGACTGTTAAATTATATTATTTTAATGTATTCTACATTTGGTTCTTGAAAATATGCATGTCTTTTGGGGAAATTTTAATACTTTGATTGTGATGTAAGGATGACTACGTTAAAAAGATTTTACTCTCAAATATAAGAAGGATTTGAATTTCCAACTGAAGTCATATTTGAGTTGATTAAACACCAGCCATATGACAAGACAAGCGTGAAAGTCAATAAGAAAGTCAAGTATCCATAATCTTTAAAGCCTACAACTTCACAGCTTCAACTTTTTCTGAAATTTATACCCTTATTCTGAATTTCTTTTCCTTCTAGAAATAAGATCGTTGCAACTAAAGATTGCCTAACCATCCGGTCAAATTTTTCATTGAATAACTAAATAAAAAATAATAAACAAATTATTAATAAAATTTAATATACGATTTTTGAAAATATTATATTTATTAATATAAAATACACGCGCAATCTATAAAACTAATTACACTAAATTCATTCAGAAAATGTTTGAATTCAACTATATATTGTATCAATGTACTAATATCTATTTTCATCATTTAAACATATACTCCCTCCGTCTCATATTATCTGTCATGATTCTCTGGTACACGCCCCTTAAGAAAAATTAATTAGGATGGAATTTTGACTACTTTACCCTTATTCATATCTTAATAGTTAAATTTTTCTTCATTGGTATTTGAACAAAGTTATCCATAATTGAGGTGTTTGTAGTCTTCAAGGATAATTATTACTAAGGGTAGAAAAGAAAAAAGATAATCAATTTTGTCTTGAACTTCTAAAGTGAAAAAATAATTTGAGACAACTATTTTTAGTAATCACGACTGATAATATGAGATAGAGGGACTATTGCATTTAGTTTTACCTCCATTGCTATTTTTCAATAATTTGTATACGTTTTATATTGATTAATGTGATGCACACGTGCAACGCGCGTACACTAAAACTAGTCTTACCTTAAAAAAGAAGTATGGAGCATGAGAAAGCCAAAACTCTATGATAGAACATATGACCTTAATGAGGAACAGCAACCCTCTTAAATGATCATACTGAGTGAAAGGACCTTAGCCACTTCCTAAAACCATCCTGATCTATTGGATGAGCCGATAGATGATCAGGCTTAATAATATTGGATTATAAACACAAATTAAGTTATTATTCTGAACCGCTCCCTTCTTTTCCCAAAAGGAGCATTATACTTCCACTCTCACCTAAAGCAACAATCGCTTAAACCCTTCTTGCCTCCCCTAGAGAAGGCACTATAATCAGTGTATTTTACCTACCCTACTTGCCAGTTTTATCAGGTTAACCTCTCACCAACTCTCCATTTTGTTTGGAAGTTGTCTCCTGTTCCACTAGGCTCATCCTACTGATCTCCCTCTCTAGTAAAGCTCTATTTATAAGTTCTCATCCCAATATTCAAAACCAAAACTATCTTACACACTGACATCCCAACTTAACAGCTGGTCAAAGTTCACAGTTCTCAGTATTTCCACTTTGGAGAGTAATAGCTGTCAGAAAATAGTGTCAATACAAAGTGTTTCACGCGGGAATTCATCGTCTGTAGGATTCTTTCATAGAAATCGCAAAATAGTCATTCAAGTGAATTAATCTGAAATGTGAGAGAGTGTAGACGCTTTTCTTTTTTATGATTCATTAGTAATATATTAATAGCCACCATGTTTTGAACAAAACAGTTAAAAATATGTTATAGAGCAAATAAATATAACTTTTTTTCCTCTGTGTAGAACCAATAGAAAGCAGTCTGAGAAACTCCTAGGCAGTGGCGAAGCCAGAAATGTTTGTAAGGGTGTTCAAACTTGAAAGAAGTAGAAAAAAAATTCCGACAAAGGGTGTTCAATATAGGTTTTATACATCTAAAATCAATATTTTACTTATATACACAGTGCAATTTTTCGTAATATTTCGACGAAGGGTGGTCAGTTGACCACCCTTTGCTATAGGTGGCTTCGCCCATGCTCCTAGGAACAAAGTAATCTCAGCCACAAAGATTGAACTGTTTAAATAAAATAAATTAAATTGTGCCCTTTCTCCTCATTGTTTCAGGAATCTTTAATAACCTAAAATCCAGTTTCTTTTCATCAATTCTTCTTAAGCCTCATGGATAGAGAAGAATCTTTCCATGTTTTTACAGTTTACTGTTTACCTTGATGTCAGATGAAATTAAATATAAATATGATGGATGAAAGAAGCAAAGAGGACTAGGTAACAACAACAACAACAACAACATACACAGTGTGATCCCACAAGTGGGGTATGGGGAGGGTGGGTGTACGCAGACCTTACTCTTATCTTGTATTAGGTAGAGAGGCAGTTTCCGATAGACCATCGGCCGAAGAAAAGCGTTTTCAAAACAGGTTTGAAAAATACAAGAGTAAAGAAACCTATGGTGAAAATACTATATAAAAGAAAGTACTGACAACAAAAATAGTAAAGATAACCCCAGTAGAAGAAACAATAGTAATAATACAACTAAAGAATAAAATTATAATAGAATAATAATGATACTAATAAGTAAGAGAAGGAGCAAAAACTACTCCCACAGGAAAGAGAGAAACTACTCTACTACCTACTAACCCTCTACCTTATCCTCGACCTCCATGCTTTTCTACCTAAGGCCATGTCCTCGGTGAACTGGAGATGTGTCATGTCATGTCTAATCACCTCTCCCCAATTCATCATCGGTCTATCTCTACCTCTCCTTAGACCTATCATTGCCAACCTCTTGCACGTCCTCACTGGGGCATCTGTGCTCCTCCTCTTTACATGCCCGAACTATCTCAGCCTCGCTTCCCGCATCTTGTCCACCTCTGAGGTCACTCCCACCTTCCTGTATATCTTCGTTCCTAATCTTATCTCTCCTAGTGTACCTACACATCCATCTAAGCATCCTCATTTCCATTATATTCATCTTCTGGACGTGTGAATTCTTGACTGGCCAACACTCTGCCCATACAACATAGTTGGTCTAACAACCACTCTATAGAACTTATCTTTAAGTCGCGGTGGCACATTCTTATCACATAGGACATCGGATACGAACCTCCATTTCATCCACCCCACTCCAATACGATGTGTGACATCATCGTCGACCTCCCCATTTCCTTGGATTATTGACCCAAGATACTTGAAGCTTCCTCTATCGGGGATGACGTGTATCAATCCTCACTTCCTTGGACTAGGTGAATGACTCAATAAAGACTGAGAGACTTTCTCCTTAATTTGGTAGGCCTCCTCGAATTTGGAGAATAAACTATCCCTTGGGACTCCAAACAACAATGGAGGAGGGTAACCAGAAAAAGAGATCCCAAAGTTACATGAGAAGCTTAAGCTTTGGCAAGATGCATAGGTACAACCATCTAGGACAGTAAATTGGTATTTATATTCCTCTCCACCCCAATGCTAAATTTGAAAAAAGCAGATAGATGGAGGGTGTGGCAACCTGCGGGTGGAATATTGCTAACACTTTATTAAAATCAATGTATACTACGTATAAAAAGTAAGACGAGGACCTAGTTTCCTCATTTCGTGTGATGCAGTGATATGAAAATCAAACGAGAAAAAAAAAGAATTATTGTCAAACAACACATAAATGATAAAGCACTTTCAGGGCCACTTTTCATAAGTTATATGCAAGACCCGATCAGTCAAAGAAGTTCAAGCTAACAGAAATGTGATCAAGTTATAGTGTAGGCTACAAAGGCAACCAAGCAAATCTGATGACAATTCGATGTTTTCTTATTCACTATTCTTTTGGACGGAACTTAGAGGAGGAAGCTAGTATCAAGGATGTACATTGAAGTTTTCCTCCTATTTCCACCAAAAGCGGACGAAGCCCCTTTCAGAGACCATCAAATCCCTGAGAAGGTGGTACATCTGAATTGCCCTACTCACTAGATAATATGACATGAAACAGACTTAGAATGTTTCGAGGTCAAATTCAATGGATTAAGCCTCAAAGCATGAGGTCAATTAGTTAATCTACCAACTACTATCATGTGCTTCAGTCCCAACTCTAACTAGTTGAACAATTAGACTTGGTTTCCAAGCAACAATGAACAAAAAGAACATCCTTTACTCTTTACACCAGATACTGATGCTGCTACACAATCTGGAGGTAAAAACAACGTGTCATCTAATCCTCAAATCTAATAATTGTTCTCTTCCATTTGTGTTTTCAGGTGAAACATATCCCATTAAGACAGTAACACCGGCTACCTTTTATATAATGATGAATTTGTTAAAGCCTTGAAGACTATATTTGGACACAACCAGTTCATGCATGAGCCCGTTCCTTCCATCAATCTTTGTCGTTGATCTAACAATGAATGGCTTTAGAAGCCACTACACACCTTTTCTCTCTACTGCACTTTGTCTAAGCTTTGGAAGCGAAGACCGTTAACATGGTAGCTAGCCATTAGAGGTAGCCTTACAAAACAAAACAGAAGGTTAAACAGTGAAAGTAGTAGATGAGCTATCGTTGAAGAATTAATTGGACAAGACTCCCAATCACAACTCTTGTCATAAGCAAAGATCTAGTTCTGATGACGAGAAATACTTATGCCCTGACTAATAACATAGCAACGTATTTATTATAAGACTGGATATAACTGAGTGGGTTGTACCTCTATATTGATACCAGCATCACGTGCCTTTTGGAATAGCATATCAACTCGAACCAGATCATTAGACAATTGCTCCTGCAAAGTGCAATCTGATCAGCATCATAAAGACAGGAGAAGAATGACAAAGTAGATTTCTCAGACTAGCATGAAACCAACAGCGTGTAGAACTGTACGTTCTCTATACGTTTATCATGTTTTTAGTTACCCTGAGATCCTGCTTCTCTTATACAATCAGCATACTGATAATATTAAATATAGAAAGACTAAAGCACAAGGGGCACATTGATCTTCACAGTATATGTTAATATTGATATAAAAAGGTCCAATACCTGACACGTTTTACCTGACTTTCCTAATAAATAATAAACAAATGTGCACTTTGATAAATGAGATCAAAATGGAATGCGATGGTTACATCATACATATTTTTTTTTAATAACCGTTGTCCATGCCAGTTTGCAGGCATCTTGACTAATTCTACTGGACACCTGCTACCTCCCACCAGCAACAGGTACCAGGTAACTCTATCCATCAAGGCTTGGACAGATTAGAAGAAATCACCTAGGGCTTGTTTGGTACGAGGGATAATTCCGGGATAAAATTTGAGATGAGTTTATCTTTGATTGGAATAAAATCGCGGTATAATTAATCCCGGGATTAGTTATCCCGGGATTGTAGTGTTTTTTATCCCTATGAAAGGATGGGATAACTAATCCTTGGATAACTGGGATAACTTGTTTCCAACCAAACGACACCCTAGTATTTTTGCTACCGATGGGATTTGAACCTGGACCTCATGGTTCTCAACCCCTTTATTGACCACTGAGCCAGACCCTTGGGTGCAATTACATCATGCATAATTAGAAGCTTGAAATACTAGCAAAAGTGAAAATCAGAATGAGAGCAATCTCTAACAGGTTATTTTATCCCCTGAAAGTTCTATTCAAGAATGATAAAGAGAAGTTGATGTGATGCTCTTCACAGTTCACACTAAATACATTTTATATGTTTTCTTCACAACGAACCTATTTCGTATGTTACGTCACAGACATTTGATATGGTAACAGCAGTTGAACACAGCAACACATCAAATGAACATGCTACTGAATCTTTTTAAAAAAAAATACATACTATGTCAAATTGCTGATGCCTCAGTTATATTTTTCCAGTTACTCATTTCATTTCTAACAGCCTTCCAGTGAAGAGCAGCAAAAAATGTAAGCAATTCTAAGTGCATAAAATCAGTCATAAATACACCACCTTGTAAAATGTCTCCACGCAGAAACTTGGATTTGCTCCTAATGTGACTGTAAAGTAGGAAAATTTGACAGAAAATTTCTGCAACAAATATGCCAGATCAACAGTCCAAATACTGCAAGGATTAAGAACAACGTCAATAAACTTTGTGAAGCATTTTATCTCATTCATATAAGAGGTAAGTGAATGAATGTTTCATTTGAACTCAAGCTATCCAGCAAGGAACCCAAATGTGAGACATGAGGTGCACTAAATGAAAAAACAACAATTGGGTGCCGGTCACGCCCTCATACAGTTCTGGGGTGTGACAGTATCATGGGCTTGTTACGTGTAAAACAGCGAGTCTTAATTTTGAATGTAAACATACCAGTGGCCAATTACTCCCTGACTCCTAGAACGCTGGTCTTACTTTCTCTTTGTGGATTGTTAAATGGGAAGTTTAAAATTTGAAATTACCAACAACAACAACAACAATTATGCCTTACTCTCGAACAAGTTGAAGTCGATAATATACCACAAATATTTTTTTTTGAACCACCTTTAATCTAGTCAATTCAATTTTATCTTTTTTTGCAATGTCAACAAATATACCACATGTTTGTCCATGAATAGTGTAATTTTGCTTCTCTCAATAACCTTGCAAAGTCAAAATCCGACTACCTGTTTTAAAGCATAAAGGGACACTTTTCCTATAGAATTATCTGCAAGATCCAGCTCGCGAATGAGAATATCACCAGAATGAAATGGAAAAGGCAAATCATGTTCGTAGTTTAACATTACAAGAAAACTAAGAACTGATGCAGAGACTTCAAAAAAGAAAGAAGATGGAAGAGGGCTAGACTGGAAGTTCTCTCTTTCTCTAGCATTGAAGACTTTGGTCACTCGTCTAAAAGGATTAATCTAGCGTCGGAAATAGGTTAAACATGTGTGACAAGTAAATCTAGGATATTTGATTCAATTTTCCTTGGAAAGAAGCATTTCTTCCATAGCACGGTTGATGCCACTAATCAGTGCTTCATGCTTTAGTTTTCATAGTAGGAGGGAAAGTGTGTACTTCCTTTTAACATGCTTTGCAGTTTATCATAGGAGCTCATCATTATGTACATCAATGTAGCAATCACCCATTTATAGGAATAGCCTATATTGCCCCAATCACCTCTAGGTCCAAATATATTGACTCTTTACATATAGCACCAAAATGACAGTTATTTAATCCTTCTGAAGATCCAAACACATGGAGAAACATGTAAAAAGTGAAGGTCTAATAAAACATAGCATCAACTGAGGTAAGACATCAAAAAATACATGATATACAAATTAACTCAGTATTGCAGAGATGCAAAGGGGGAATTCCTCAATAAGCAATTAGATTAAAACAACTAAAAGAAAAGGATGAATGAAGTAGAAGTTAAATGTGATATTTATCCTCACAACAGAGCAAAAGAAGTACTTATAGAGCAAGGAGTAAATTATGAAAGCTTTTAAAAGATGTACCTTGTAGTGCAGCAAAGCTCTTCAAGTTCTTGCATATCATAATCCATACCGAGAGTCCTCAAAACCATTAAAACACAAGCAAGACCACAGTCCCATGAATGTAACTGGTTAATATGTGGAACCTATAGTGACAAGCACAGACTGATTGTTAAGACTAGACAAACAATTGAGCATATATCAAGAAGATGCTTGCTAAAAATAGAGATTATACAAACATTTATCTACACATATTAGCCAACATCAAAATTTTAAATTAGCAAAAGACTTCAAAAAAGTGCCCAAAAGCAAATGATAGAGTTGTGAATAGAGCAAATGGACTCACTTCACAAAAGTACGAACATGAGAGGACTGTATTGTGGCATTTGTTTGTGCCAACTGATCGTTTACAAAGGAAGGACTCTACCAAGCTTAAATGATCCCTTTCAGATCCTTGAGAGTATTGTTCTTCTGTCCTTGAAAACTTACTCAAGAGAACATATAAAGGCCACATCTGCGATCAGTAGACTGATGAAGTTGCTAAACATTGAGTCTCAAACCACAAACCTTATGCAGTAAATTACGAATTGTCACATATGAAAAACCTCAATTCCTTACCTGTTGTGTCGTAGCCAATATACTTCTAATATGAGATAGCAGGAGGATGCAGCAACACTCAGAAAGCATTCAGGGGCTGGAACCAGAAATGCTGCATATTAGTTCAGATATCCGCGCTTCAGGTAGCAAAATAATAGTTTATAGAATACTTTCCACTCCAAAAAATGTGCTTATGATATCCACATCCACAAGTTGGTTGCATACACAAATGGCAACAAAAAAGCAGGCATCCCTTAAATTAATGGTGCTAAGCATTTAATAGTTACAGGAACATATATTAAATCCCAGTAGAGGCAAAAATGTTAAGTAATTTCCTCCCATCTGTCTAAACTTAGTTATCACAAGCTGACCGGGGCACCACCATTATGTTAATAGAAAAAAAAAAGATGCAATTTTAAAAAGAATTGATCAGTTACCTCCCTCTGGAACACTGCCTCAAATAGTTGGCAAAATTAACAACCAAAAACTCATTAAGCGACAAACCCTTTGCAGCTCCTATTTTCAATATATATATATATATATATATATATATATATATACCGATATGCCACCGTTTACAATTCTAATTACAATTTCCAACACACTCACCACATGTGTGCGGCATAGCGTCCGATCACGACCCGGTCGGCTAGGCCGTCTCACACAAGATATCAACCAATGTTTTAAAAGGCGGGGGCGTGAGGCAAGGCATTTTACCTCGGACGAGGCGAGGCGTAAGCCCTGAGACATGGGGCGTAAGTCCCATGGATCTTTAAATTTTACTAATTTCAAGAATTTTAAGATAGTATAAAATAAAAAATAATTACAAAAATTACATTAAAACCACAAAATTATAACAAATAATCTATTTAAAATATTTATAACTTTTAATTCAACTATGAATAATACAAGAAGTATGACATATATCATAATATGCAAATTAGTTGCAACGTCGTTACAACTCAAACATCAAAAGTAATATATTCGATGCGAAATCTTATATGTATCTCTTAAGGAGTAATGAATCTTGAAAGAATTTCAATATTATAATTTGATATTTTTTAAATACTCCTTTTATTTAATATGATTTCTGTTTGAAAGACAATTTATATAAAAATATAATTCACAATTTAAATATGATTCTCTAGTATAATTTATTTATAAGTTTCAATAAGTTAATAAGTGACACATAATTTCACCATACTGTATCATGATAACTAATTACTTGTAAATAATTACTAGCTAATACTGAGCTATTAAATTAATAAGTATTGTATCTCGTATACGTGAAAAAAAATATTTAGGAAAATAATTATTAAAAAACTATGGACTAATATAATAAAGACATAACAAAAGTTAATAAATAAATACTTTTAAATGAAAGATTTGTGTAAATCTACTATCATAGCAGTCTTAGTGGATAACATGCAATAATTTTTATTTTAATTATGAACATAAAATACTCTCAACTTAATGATTTATGATTAAGAAAAGAGTAATTTTGAATAGTCAACGATTTATTATGAAAAAACTGATGATTTACAAGGTTAGTTACACACAATTGCATAAAGTTCTATTAGGTGAGCCTAGTACGCTGGGCGTTGGGCGTAAGCCCCGACGGCCGAGGCGTAAGTCTCACAGAACTAAGCCCCACACATAAGTCCAGGGGGCGTTTTACGAGTGCTCCACCCCCGAGGGGCGACGCCCCC